AGATGACTCCCCAAAACCCCAAAACCCCAGCCAACACAATTTTAGACTTAGGAATGGATTATTAAAATCTAAATAAAATTAAATACTTTTATCAGAAACTAAAATTTTAATGGGAGCTGTATAATGCTGTAGTGTAAAGTAACCAAGAAGAGAAGCCTAGGATGAAATGAAGCAAGACGTTTCCAAGTCTAATTCTGGTATTTTGAGATCTAATAAGTCCACCTCTGCTTTAATTAACTAGAAGATAGAGTCTGCAAAGAAACTTAGACAGCTGAATCTCAATGATCTAAGCGTGAAGAATTTAGATGCCAGATTTGATCAGCTAAATAATATTAGTGTGATCAGCATAGTAAACTGCTAATTAGAAGGGTTTAAGGACACCGGGATTGATGTTCTAAAGAATAGCATTGACACGCTCAAGAAAGTTAATTTTACAAAGAATGCTATTTCGAAAATTCCTTTGGAGTTATTCAAGTGTCCTGATTTACAAATTGTAAATTTTTCGTCAAATAAGCTGAAGGAAATACCAGATTAGATCAATTAGCTCAGAAATCTAAGGGAACTTGATTTCAGTCACAATTTGATTAAAAATATACCTGCTTCAATTACAGTCTGCAGCTAGATTAAAGTTATTACACTCAATAACAATCATATAAATGAGTTCAATTTAGCGTTCTTGAAACTCCCCAATCTAGAATATTTGTATATGTCTCAGAATGAGATAGCAATACTGCCAGATGATTAATTATGGGCTGTTTCATCATTAAAGGTGCTTGATCTAGAATCAAATAGTTTGTATGAAGTACCTCCAGTAGTATTTAAATAATCAAAGCTGCATAACCTGAACTTAAAGGATAATCATATTTTGAGAAGTAAACTAATGAAAATGGATGGAATCGATGAATATCAAAACAGAAGAAAAATCAAGATGGATATTGTAGTTTAGAATAATCTTGATGTCAATTATGATCTATGTGGTCTTGATAAATGATAAATAAGCCTCTAAGTCATATGAAAAGCTACTAAAAAAGCAGAATAAAAAATACTATTTTATTAATTTCTTTACTCATAAGCATTTCTTTTTTATGTAATACTCCTGGGGTTTTGGGGTTTTGGGGTTTTGGGG